CAGTGGAGCACCATGGGGAAACATGAATCCAAAAACTCAATCAAACATATTTCACATCTGTAATATTCCAGGATTATGATAAAAATTATGGAAAGAGAGTTGATTAAAATATTAAAGCCTTAAGAACTAGGATCTTATAGGGAATATATACCTGAATCAGAAGTGTCTGTAATGTAAGATAGAATGTGATTATTGTAAAAACAAATTTTATTTATTTATTATTTATTTATTCATTCATTCATCATATTAGATATTGTTATTATCTCCATTCTACAGATAAGGAAATTGAGGTAGAGGAAAGCCAAACGATTTGCCCAAGGTCGGGCAACCTAGTAAGTTACAGAGTGGGGATTTGAACCGAGGCTGTCTGAGTCCAGAACTCCTCCACAGAAGCTCCACCTTGAAAGATTTGTCTGAGAGCGCACAGTCAGACAGGAGCACAGAAAAGCTGCCTTTTGTCATTTGAAGCCAGGCCCATCCAGATGAGAGTGTATCACTTGTGCGACAATGAATGCCAGTCAGGAAGAGGCTACAAGAGACTTGCTGCTTCCTTGTGAAAGCTGAGGGTTGTTCTGGCAGGGAAGCAGGGCCTGGTGGTGGAGACATCTATCTCTCCCTCATCCAAGAGAGGTGATGGATTTGTAATGGAGCCACTGCAGTTGAGGCTGTGATGCTTATTGAGAGAATGATCGGGAAATGGAGGAGTAGATGTCTCTCTCCTCGAAGAGGAGAGCTTGAGGTAATGAAACTGATGAGAGAGGACTGATGAGGTTTGATGATCATCAGAGCAACAGCAATAGACTGTAAGGGTGAAGATAAAGGGAGAGTGGTGATGCATTTCGTCACTCTGTCAACCACGCTTCCTAAATGCTCATGTTGGCTAGCTGCTGAATGCTCTGGAAAGGGAAGGAGATCTAGTCCACTATGAGCTTACAATTGGATGGATAAAACAGGGCAATAGTAAATAACCCACCTCCCAGACACACACAGTGAGATATGAGAAATATAGATTTGCATTACCAGTTATATAAATATGGTCTCAAACTGCTTTGAAGAAATTGGTACTTAGGATTCTTTTATTTTATTTTAAAGATTTTATTTATTTGACAGAGGGAGAGAGAGCACAAGCAGGGGGAGTGGGAGAGGGAGAAGCAGGTTTCCCGCTGAGCAGGGAGCCCAATTCCGGGCTCGATCCCAGGACCCTGGGATCATGACCTGAGCCAAAAGCAGCCACTTAACCTACTGAGAGACCCAGGTGCCCCAGGATTCTTTTATTTTAATTGAGTATAGTTAACAAACAATGTTATATTAGTTTCAGGTGTACAATATAGTGATTCAACACTTCCATATATCACCTGATGCTCATCAGGACAAGTGTCCTCCTTAATCCTCATCATCTATTTCACCCATCCCCCCATCACCTCCCCTCTGGTAACCATCAGTTTGTTCGCTATAGTTGAGTCTGTTTTTTGGTTTATCCCTCTCCCTCTCTCTCTCTCTCTTTTTTCTTTGCCCATTTGTTTGCTTTCTTAAATTCCACATATGAGTGAAATCATGGTATTTGTCTTTCTCTGATTAACTTATTTCATTTAGCATAATACTCTCTAGCTCCATACATATCATTGCAAATGGCAAGATTTCATTCTTTTTCATGGCTGCATAATAGTCCATTGTATATATACATATATATATATACCACATCTTCTTTATCCATTCATCAATGGATGGACACTTTCACTGCTTCCATAATTTGGCTATTGTAAATAATACTGCTATATACACAGGAGTGCATGTATCCTTTTGGATTAGTGTGCTTGTATTTTTTGAGTAAATATTCAGTAGTGCAATTAGTGAATCAGAGGATAGCTCTATTTTTAACCTTTTGAGGAACCTCCATACTGTTTTCCAGAGTGGCTGAACTAGTTTGCATCCCCACCAACAGTGCAAGAGGGTTCCCCTTTCTCCACATCCTCTCCAACACTTGTTGTTTCTTGTGTTGTTGATTTTGGTCATTCTGACAGGCATAAGGTGACATCTCATTGTAGTTTTGATTTGCATTTCCCTGTGATAAGTGATGTTGAGCATCTTCTCATGTATCTGTTGGCCATCTGAATGTGTTCTTTGGAGAAATATCTGTTTATGTCTTCTACCCAGTTTTTTTTTTTAAAAGATTTTATTTATTTTTTTGACAGAGAGAGACATAGCGAGAGCAGGAACACAAGCAGGGGGAGTGGGAGGGGGAGAAGCAGGCTTCCCGCAGAGCAGGGAGCCCGATGTGGGACTTGATCCCAGGACCCTGGGATCATGACCTCAGCCGAAGGCAGACGCTTAACAACTGAGCCACCCAGGCGCCCTTCTACCCAGTTTTTAACCAGATTATTTGTTTTGGGTTTTTTTGGTGTTGAGTTATTCTTTATATGTTTTGAATATTAACACTTTATCAGATATGTCATTTGCAAATATATTCTCCCATTCCCTAGGTTGCCTTTTAGTTTTGTTGATTATTTCTTTCACTGTGCAGAAGCTTTTTATTTTCATGTAGTATCAATAGTTTATTTGAAAGATAAAAGAGATTTTTAAAGATGATAGAGGGACACTTTATGAAAGGTAACATTTTATAGACATTAAACTATAAAAAAAAAAAAAAAAAAAAAAGAGCTAAGCTGAGAGGAAGTTCATTCCGGGTGGAGGAAACAGCTCAGCAAAACGGTTGAAGAGGGAAAGCAGGGGTAAAAATGAAGACTTTAGTTTGATTGGAGTACTCAATCTATAAGTGCAGTAGTGAAAGGAACACTTAAAAAGCTCCGGCCTCTCCCTCCTTTGCTTACGCCCTTTATGCGTCAGGTAATGGGATGCACCCAATGTTTGTTAGCTGGAAAATCGTATTACCATAACTGGATTGAAAAGACTAATCTGACAGTGCTGTGTGTTGTGAAATAGAAATGTGATAACTTAATAGAAGGTGTTCATGAATAAAGTAAAATTGGTGAGGCATAACACCTGACTGAATTTATCAGACAAAGGAGAGGAAAAAGTAAGAGTCAAAAGGTATTTCAACATTCCAGTAGAGTAGCCTAATAAAAGAGTGTTTTACGAAGATTAAATGGGAGGAAGGGTATAAACAGAATAATCATAAAGAGCTTAGCAATGAAGACAGCAAAATGAATTAATGGAGAGATGCTAATGAATGTATGACTTGACAAAAAAATTCTGAATAAGTAAGTGGCAACAGGAAGAGAAATGAGGATCTAAAATATACTGCAAGGGGCGCCTGGGTGGCTCAGCATCTGCTTTCGGCTCAGGTCATGCTCTCAGGGTCCTGGGATCGAGCCCCACATCAGGTTCCCTGCTCAGTGAGGTTGCGGCGGGGGGTGGGGGGGGGGGTGTCTGCTTCTCCCGCTGCTCCTCCCCCTGCTTGTGTTTCCTTTATCACCATGTCTCTCTCTGTCAAATAAATAAATAAAATTAAAAAAAAAATAAAACATTTTGCAAAATAAGAATTAACAGGAATTGATGTTATGATGAATATAATGAATTTAACTCACAGAATCAAGTCCAATCTAAGATTTTTAAGCTGGGTAAATCTTCAGTCCATTGACAACAGTAAGGAATTTGCTATTAGGAAAAGTTTGTTTTAAAATGGGGGAAAGATAAATTCAAATTTGGGCATGTCGAGTTGCATAATGTAGTAACAACCTCAATCAAGCATTTCTGAAGTTATTTACACTCATTCACTTTCCTCTTCAAGACTGTACTATGTAAGAAGACACATGGAGCCTTCTATTTCAGATTTTCAGCTTCTGGAAACTCTCCAGACATTTGATACTTCTAAATATATTGAGTAACCATTAGCTTATATTTTTAGTCTCATTGCATACTACTATAGCAGAAGTAGAGAGATTGAAAGATACTATTGGTTTAATTTTTCTATGCTTTAATTCTGATTATATAGGAACCAGAAATTATCGTCACAGATGAAATGGATCCTCACATCTTTCCACGATGTCCTATTTGGCCATTGGTTTGAAGGCCCAGCAATAATGAATCTAAAAACATTTTTGTCTATATAAAAGTTACTTACTTCAAGAAAAATTGTCAGATGACTTCGAGATTTTTTTTTTAAAGATTTTACTTATTTATTTGACAGAGACAGAGATAGCGAGAGCAGGAACACAAGCAGCAGGAGTGGGAGAGGGAGAAGCAGGCTTCCCCCCGAGGAGGGAGCCCGATGTGGGACTCGATCCCAGGACCCTGGGATCATGACCTGAGCCGAAGGCAGACGCTTAACAACTGAGCCACCCAGGCCCCCAAATTGTCAGATGACTTTGATCTTACTGTTTGGGGAATATGAACCAATACAGTCGTATAAAGGGCTAACCAATTAAGGTCGCTTAATTAATAAACCAAATAAAACTATCAAATTCCAAATTATTAGAAAAATGATCAGAAAGAATGACACAGAGTTAACATAAGTGGGAAAAAATTTTCCTGCACATTTTTAAAGTAGGTTAATTCAATTATTCAGCCATAGTTAAATGGCCCCCAAAAGGTTTAAAATTATTATCTAGTCTATGTCCTAAACTACAAGAGAAACCATTACTAAACACATGAAGGCTGATGCTGTCCAACAGAATAACTTGTTCACAGAAATCACAAAAAAACAATATCCCAGTGATAAGACCTGAGGTAATAGAGAAGGTAGATAAGAAGTCGGTGTTCAGAAGATCAAAGAATAAATATATTCCCATTTCATAGATATTCCCTCACACTATAGTCACTTGTCTGGTGACCCTTGCCAATCACATCTTATGTCTAAAGATATCTTCATCTAGACAAGATGTTTCCCCCATAAATAAGGTTAGCAATGTTCTTTCCTTAATAGAGTCCCTAAAATTAAGATGTTTCAGTATTTTAGATATTTATGTCCAAGTCACTTACTATAATCTTTATATTCAAAAATTTAAAGACAGTTTGTTTTAAATTGGTGACCTCTGCATTATGTATTTATCAACAATTAAAATGATGCAATTAAGTGACAGAACAGATATAAAGGGGTTGGTCAATTTGAGTGAAAAATATTTCATCAGAAATAATATTTTTTTTAATCAATATGAGTACTTTGCCGGAGTAAAGTCAATAAATCCCTATATTAAGGCTGTGTGTGTGTGTGTGTGTGTGTGTGAAAATAATTCGTGAGCTAAATATTTGAAATCTCTTTATTAGGAGGGAGAATTAGCTTGAGATCAGTATAACAATTCAAACTCTGGAGAAGAAACCAAGAAGGTTAACCAGTGTTTCATTCATTTGCGAGATCTCTTCATAATATGCCTAAAGGGTTGAAACGGACTCAGCTGAATGTGGCAGAGTACTCTGTCCCGAGACATCCCTTTCTCGAATTACAGAGCAACTGCTGTAGACTTCACCACAAAAACAGAGCACACCGAAATGCACTGTGAAGAACAACCTGCTCGCATTCCTTCTTGATTGAACAATATGTTTCTGGAAAAAAAAAAAAAAAAAAAGAACAATATGTTTCTGCATCTGACCAGATGAATATTTTTGAGAACATCAAACCCCAAATCCAAAAACTTCCAGCAGCCAGACACTTAGTTTAAAATCTCCCCTACTTGTTGCCAACACGGCAGCTGACAACAGCTCATACCCGACCAGCAAAGCATTTTCCATTCTCCGAACACTAAGAGGGTGAGGAAAGGAGATCTTCCCTGGCCATGACTATCTGATCTGGCCCAGATTTGGACGAAAGTTGGGGGAAAGGGAAAGGGAAAAGAAGAAAGTATTTGGCTCTGCTAGGATAATGAGAAAGTCCCGAAATAGCCTCTGAGTTCTAAGCGACTTCGCATCTTCGTTTGGGATAACTGAAATACCAGAATATATGCAATCTTATTTTTAGTCTAATTCTTTGGAAATAGTTGTATTTCACCACTTCAACAAGTTCAGTGAAAGGATAAAGAAGTAAAAGAGCTTATGAGCATGCTGTTCTGCTTATTAGATGAAATGAATTGGATGAAATGGATGATTTATTTCCCGCTTTTCTAAAAGGAAAGGGAAAATATGAAACATTGAAATCCATCTAGGCAAAAAAACAGATTACAGTTAAGCTGTGACTACCCAAATAATCCAGACTGATGTGTGCCAATGGGATTCCCCTCTATATTCTATTTTGATTTGTTTAGTAAAGGAGAGGCAGGGATTATGGTGTTTAGAACATGTTTCAGAAATATTCTAGGCAAAATCTCTAGCTCATGGGTGGCTGGATTAACACTGAGCAGTACATCAAAGGTCTAGGCCTCACAAAACTATGATAGCCTCTACATAGCAAGACTTCTCAGAAATCCAAAAATCCTTCAGCTCTGCAGATAGATTTTGCCAGGACACAGGTCATCACTAATAAGCCCCAGAGGAAAGAGAAATTCCACAGTTGGGACATACGCCTTATTTAGTAGCAGTTTAGCAAATGAGGAAGGCCCTAGGAAATCTCCATCTTCTGGGTAATTGTTGTCAAAATGGATCTTTAATGATGGAGTGCCATGTAATAAGTCCTATAAGTGATAGCATCACAACATTTGGTGCGAATTGAGATGAAAACCAATTCATTCCTGGGCACCTGGGTGGCTCAGTCGTTAAGCATCTGCCTTCAGCTCGGGTCATGATCCCAGGGTCCTGGGATGGAGCCCCGCATGAGACTCTCTGCTAGGCGGGGAGCCTGCTTCTCCCTCTCCCACTCCCCCTGCTTGTGTTCCCTCTCTCTCTGTGTCTCTCTGTCAAATAAATAAATAAAATCTTAAAAAAAAAATTCATTCAGCCTGAAGAAGTGAAGTCTTGAATTGTGAAAACAAGAATGCATGCAGATTTACCCAGGAAGACTAAGGGGAAATAGTAACTTAGAAGTGAAAATAGCATGTTCAAAGGTGTAGAAGCTTCAAAAGGAGTTTATTCAAAATTCCGGGAGTCAAATGAAACAAACAAAAAACATTATATGTCCATAAGGGAGATGACAAAACAGGCTGCAAATTCTTCCATCATTGTCTGTACACCCAACTGCAATGTGACTTTGCAAGAGGTAGATTCTAATTTCCTACTGTATCCAGATTTAGCCATGTGACTTGTTTGGGCCACCAGGACATTATCAGATAGGACGTAAGCAGAAGTTCGAAAAGGACTTACACTTTTCACATGGGAATAAGCCTAAAAGGGCCTACTGTGAGCACATGCCTGCATCATACCCATCGCTTGCTCACGGCCGCCACCAACTACTGGTCACGTGAGTGAGGCCGTCAGAGACCAACACGGCCCCAGGTGATCAGCCAGGGAACTGCATTCCCATAAATGAGTCCAGGTGAAACTACAGAAAAATTCTGACTCTCAGAGCAGTGAGCTAAGAAATGATTATTCTCTTAAGACACAAGTTTTTGGTCTGGTGGGTTACACTGCAAAAGCGAACTGATGATTGAGATGTTATAGAAGAGTGTATTAGTCAGGGTTCTTAAAGGCAAAAAAAGTTAAAAAGTGCATAACTGATTCTATCTAGTTTAACGAAGAAAGATCTCATTAAATAAAGTATTGAACAGTTCATAGACTCTCCAGGAGAACCAGATGATTAGACTGCGGAGCCAAAAATGAAGTCCAAATTACCCTGCAGAAACTTTCTCCTGGATACACCACTACCTCCATTGCAGGCCCCAGCCACACAAAACTGCATCTCTCACTTTGGTTACAGAGCACTCGATGTTGTTGGTAACATCCCTGCAGCTTTTGGAGACTCGCTGTAACTGTTGCCCACCTCATCATGATAGATCCCATATGCCACCTCTTTATTTGCATCGCTAGTTTCCAAATTAAAGTCTTCACTAGGTCTCTGTGATTTGCAGAGTCAGGAAATATGCCCGCACTCCAGTAATGGAGCTGAGTACTGGGAGAGCGAATCTGTGGCATTGACTTTCTGGAAGAATTAGGATAATAATAAAATAAGAAATGCCCTAACGTAGAGTGTTCAAAGGTGCTGGGTGGGCAAAGATAATTTATAAATGTCATGAGAGTCTACTTCTTCATATATACACCCTTCTCTATTACTTACACATACAAACAACAGGAACAGATATATTCCTCCTAATATAAGTCAACTATCACTCCACAAATAAAGACTTCCTCTTACTTCTGGAAGGGAGATGTCCCAAAGTTTCAAAATACAGCAAATAGCACCAAATCCAGGATCTCTGAATTATGTCATTATTCTTCTAGTTCTGCCATGATCCTGTCTTGTTGCTCAATATTCTGTAAACTGTAGGCCAGAATGTAATGTTTCCCGCCCTACATGAAAGAGAAAAAGAACAAGAGGGGAGATTTATTAGAATATTCAAATGTATACATGACACGTGAAAGAAAAAAACATGTAGATATTGCAAATGGTCACCAGGCTGCATTTAGAATTTATAACATTCCTCCTCTTTATCTAAACCATATTCCCTCTGCCCTCAGCCAGCTACTCAGCTGGTGAGGGTTCTTTACCCAATGAGATAACCCAAACCCCTATTCCTAGGGGATCTGAGTCCAGGGGTCCTAGCTTTCCATTATAATCTTTTATTAATTTTTACATTGGTCAAAACAATCTCATGGTATGCCCTGTGTTCCAGACATACTCCTCCCAGCCACACTAATAGCAGGTGAAAAAGGCCCTTTTGGGGGACAAATTTAGCAGAAAGTAATTAGTAATATAGAACAAAGCCAGTCCCTCATTCCTATCTCCATGAATTTGGAATTTCTTCCTTTAGAGCCTAGATGAAGGATCAGCAAACTTTTTCTTAAAGGATAAGGTGGTAAATATTTTAGACTAAGGGACACAAGAGTATAATGTGGGTACTTTATACCACTTTAAACTGATACTATTTAAAAACATAAAAACCAATCTTAGCTCACCAGCCATTGAAAAATAAAAATAAAACACAGAAATAGGCCGCTGACTAGATTTAACTCCCAGGGTTATAATTTCCTGACCTTTAGTCTAGATTATACTAGGTATTCATGGTATGTCAAATTATTTTAGCTTTAACAACCAAGTCCAGATTTCAATCAATGAACAATGTAAGCAATTAGAACCACTCCCAGCTACCGGTGTATGAACCTATATCAGTAAATTCAACCCAGTATAAGATTATACTTCTCTTTCCTTGATCTGCTACCCACAGAATCTATTCTTATACATCAACTCTAGGTTCTTATATAAAACAGCAGAACAGTGCCTTCCTTAACTGTAAACCTCGTCCTTTTAGGTTTTATTTTACAAATACTTCTACCCTCACCCAAGGACACTGATTCTAGTTATAGATCTGGAGATGGCTAGGGTGGTTTTAGGGGAAAATGGTGTTATTGGGAGAATTGCCTTTCCCCTTTCAAGTTTATTGCTTTAGGAGAAGTCATTCTAGATTCATCAGGCAAGGCAGCAATAGTCTCATTAGGCAGGAAAGAAATCTCAGCTTCTTCTTGCAAAACCACTTTAGCTATTTTAGGGAAAATAAACCTATTTAGGGCTGTTAGTTAGCTTATCGCTGTTCCAGGAAGGCTTGAGATCTACACAGCAAACTACAAGACTCAAAGGCCCAAAATTCGCTGGCCACACTGCTCCCCTTGAGACAACATTATTGCTACTGGGGTGCACATGTCACAAACACCCAAGCTCTCCTCACCAAAGCCAAAGTATGGATGCTATTGCTAGAACTTCTGCCACTGCGTCTGGAATCTGGATACCCCCACCTCCACCAGAACCAGATGCTCCCGCTTTTCTGTGTCTCTAGCTTCCAAATCATAGGCTTAAACCAGGAGTCAGATTGGCAATGTCTGGGGCATATCTTGTATGCTCAGTTATAAAAAATCTATAAATATTAGAAAAGCTATTTTCTGGCTTCTACCCTGAAGAGGTATAGACTTAAGCTGCTTAGTGGTGCTGGAAGGTAAATAAGATAACTAAGTTTCAAAGCTGTAAAGTGACTTGCTCATGAGCAGTTGACCAAGACGCGGAAGCTCCAACATTCTAAAGAAGCTGTCTCTTCCCCCAGCTGCAGCTCCTCACCATCACACAACAGCCATGCTGTATAGATGGTAATCAAATATAGTAATCAAATATAAAGGTGTAGATAAAATTACTAGGACGCTGTGTAAAACTAAGACAAGAAGACAACTGACAATGAATCATTAGCAATTCCATATTTTCACATGTAGGGGAAGAGACACACCTGAAGGAGACTGACAAAGAGTTAAAAAAAAAATTAGGACAGAATGGGTGTCAAAGATGTGGAACTAGGGAGAGATGCAAAAAAAGAAGATTGGGAGAGGTGTTAACAATATTTCAGAAATGAAGAGTGAGAAAAGATATATATGTATGCATGTGTGTGTGTGGTGTGTGTGTATTTCCATATCCTTAGGAGTCAGCAATTAGGGTGATATAAGCAAACTCCACTGGAAAGTAAAATAACAAGTAAAACCAGATTGCACATTGGTTGTGAAGAGAATGTGAAATGAATAAATGTGAATAAAAGAACAAATGTGAAATGAGTCAAATCTGGCACATTTCTCTGTCAGAGGGTAAAGGAGGAATAAAGAATAATATCCAGAGAATGGACAGAGATTCCAAGAAGAGTTCTTTGTTTTTAAAATAGAAGAAAATTAATCAAATTTATATGTTATTTTCTTTGTGAAAAAGAAGACAAAGTGGCCCTCTCAGATTTCTGAGGGCAGGAACGGAGTGACTGGGGATGTTGAGGAATGACTGGAACATCTACAATAGACACTCTAGGAACAATCAAAAGGGCATTGGATGGAGCCATGCCCAGGCCTTTTTCAGCTGCACTGAGATTCCAGCTAAGGCTTACATCCATGAGTCTGAAGATGCTTTCGGGGAGTCCTTCTATAAACTCAAAGGTAATGGCCCTAAGAATAAAGCAGTTGGGGTTACAAGAAGAAAGTAACATAAAAATAAGGAAGCAAAGAACTTCGGAGAGGTCTTCTAAATAACAGACCAAGAATTGATGCTGGATTTGTAAGAAACTGATCTGAGAGAGTTGCTAAATAATAGGGGGGTTTCAAGAGCCTGGAAGTTTCTATGCAAAAATGTTTTGTGTATAAATGAAAGTTTTGCGTCAAAATAGCAACTGAAGAGGACAGAGTGCAAAGCATGTGCGGAAAAGAAAATGAGGGAGTAGAGGAGACGGAAGAAGGGCCAATCAGACTGCAGCTGAGATTTGAAAGGAGCTTATTTAAAACAGATGCTGGAAGCAAATAGCCCCCATGATCCTTTCCCTAAGCAATGACATTTATTCCAGACTCTAAAATTACACAAACACTTTCTTCAAGATCAATGACTTGATAAAGAAGAAAGAAACATTTTCTAACTTGTCTAAAGATAGAGTTTAGATAAACATCTATCCAGGTGTTATGTCTCCTGTAGAAAGCAAAATAGATTTGATGATGCCACATCCCAATACCCGGATGGAAGAGGGACCATGTTATTATTATGTATCACAAAACATACTTTTGTTATTTCTAAAGATACATAAAATATTAAATTATGAAAGTAAAACATTCAAACTCATTCATTCACTCAATTAGTATTTATTAAACTTTTTCTAAATACCAGGAGCTATGCTATGCATTTGGAATATAATTATGGATAAAAAATCTATTGCCATTCCCGTGGAGCTTACGGACTAGTAGGGAGACCTCAGTGACTCACAATGGCATAAATATGATTACACACTTTAGTAAGTGTCACGATGTGGAAATAGAGAATGCTGCAGGACCGCACAATAAAGTAGACTCTAAAGGAGTCTGGAGGGTCAGCAAAGTCTACGGTGTCAGTAATGCTTGATTAGTTCAAGGGAGTGAGAATTTAGAAGTGTCAGGAAAAGAAGGTGTGGTCCAAGTTGAAGATCTGAGGCAGAAAGGACCCTGGTGAATTCTAGGAACTGAAAGAAGGCCAGAGGGTAAAGTGGAAGATGAAAAGCAATCCACGGTAAACTAGACAGAAGAAGGCAGCCCAGATCACATGGTTAGGAAATAGGTCTTACAACCACAAAATTAAAAAAAAAAAAAATTGCCCCCAAAAAGCTAGCAATCCATGAATAGCTTTGAGCAGGAAAGGGACATAATCAGATTTGTTTATTAATAAATCAGCGTCTATTGAATGCACTGAAGAGGAAAGAGTAGATGTAGTTTCAAGAGTGGAGTCTGTTGCTTTTGTAGTATTGTAGTGGAGAGAAGTGGAGGATTTAAGAGATGTGTAAGCATATGGATTAGAAATTTCAGGAAAAATCACAATAGTAGTTCTTCCCCCGTTTCTAGCTTGCACAAGTGGATTGATGTTGATAACAGTACTGAGATAGGAAATCTTAGAGGACAACCAGGTTTTAGGGGAAAAAATCATGAATTTTAGGTATGTTGAGTTTGAATTAAAAGTGAGATATTTAGAAAGCAATTGACTTCAGTGGGCCACAGGAAGACTGACTAGAGGTACACATTTGGGAGTCATTTGTTGTACAAAGTATACATGACGCCATGAGCATGGATGTGATTTAAGTATAGAGAGAACACTGAGTGACAAAAAGGAAAGGACTAGGAGGAAATCTTAAAAATATAATATCTAAAGGTCAGAGGAGGAAGGAAGACACCTTTCCAAAAGGAACTGAAAGGGGTCAACCAGTGAGATAAGAGAAAGCAGAATTATGTGTCAATGACAACAAGGAAAGAGAATTTCAAGAAGGAAGGGGTGCTCGAGATTTTCAAATGCTACTTAGAGGTCAAGTAAAATACACTGAAAAATGTCTATTGTGTTTAGTGACATGAATTCCTGCGGGTTCTTATAAACATCCTTTTCATGGGGTGATAGAGCAGAAGTCAGAATTGGAGTGTATGGTGTGAGGACTAATAAAGAGAAAAAGAAGAATTGGAAGCAGGCAATTTTTTTTTTTTTTGAAAAGTTGAACAGGGAAGAACAGAGGGGAAAAGATGGAATGCTTGGCCTGTCCTAGAGAAGAAGTCTCATCCAATTCTTCTTTTTTTTAATCTATACAATTAAAAAATAAAATTTAATAGAGCATTTAAAATTGGATGATTTCACATAAAAATCCAGCTGTCCTTGAAATGTCCACTAATCTGACTACACAGATTTATATTACTGCCTTTCATCTGCCAAAAAAGAAAGAGTTTGGAGAATTTAAATGACTTGCCCAGTATCTCAGCTAGGAAGGGTTGAGGCTGGGCTGAAACCCATGACTGACGATTTCAAGTCCTGTGTCCTTTGTGTAATCCCATTCTTTTTCCCAGGAAGCTTTCAAGATCACAAGTGTGCATTCCAGTGCAAGTCTGGGGTGATCAGAGGCACCCATTTTAGACTTTTCTTCATTTGACCCTGACCTGGAACCAATTTATACCTTTAGATGTGCAGGGTGAAATCAGAGCCCTACAGTCTGGGGTTCTCTGCCCCAGCTTCCACAACTTCTGGGACTGAAAGAATGTTCCGTTTGATATGGTCAAAAGAAAGCCGTGGGGATCCCTGGAGACATTTCTCTCAGAATCAATGACAACAGATGTGCATACACACTGTCAGTCATGACTCACTAAGTGATGAGAGTCAGAAAGAGTCAAGAATCCAATAAGGAACAAAGTACTTGGCCAGGTTCGCATTTTATACTCGCAATGGCTGCCTTCCAAATGTCTGGTCTCTAGGATGGAAAGATCTTCCCTTAATTCTGGTATGGTTCTCAGTTCAGGGGGAGCTACTGTTCCAGAAATCAATAAAACTCAACATGAAGATTATACTCTCTGCATTTGCTAGAGAAACTCTTAGCTACTCTATTGTTTTGGGGGGGTGGATTTTTTATTGTTGCTGTTTTATTCAAAGAACCTACATTTTCCCTCTAATTGTGTGATTCTTAAGGGCTACAAAGTAAACATGTAATTATTATAATTGATTATAAAATAAAATGTTTCTTTTCATAAGCATCAGAACTTATTTTTTAAAAACTGATTTTCTACATTGTAAACTCTGGACACAAAAGGAAGAATTATTAAATGCCTTGATTTTCAGGATTAGTTGGATGCTTCTTTATTTTCCTCCTTCTTTCCCACCATCCTCTCACCTCTTTGCCACAGGTCTGGAAAATACAAGAGAAAAATTACCCTGCCTTCCTTTTGCAGGCCCTCAGGAAATGTCCTAGAAATGGTAAACATTTATTAAAAAGGCAGTCAGTTTGAAATTGTCTGTCATCTTAATGAGAACTTAAATCAAATGGTTTAAATTAATAGAAATATATTTAACCAGAAATAAATCTAAAAGATATAAAGAGAAATATATTATTTTATCTTGAAAGCAAGAGAGGATGTATATTAGTTTTGTATCCTTCTGAGAAGATATCTAAGTATTATCACCACAAGAAAATATATCCTCCAGAATGAAACACTGTATCTCAGAAATTTAAATTAGCACAAATTCATTGCTGGTGAACTAATAAACTATAAACAATTAAACTTTTTAATTAGATGTATGTATTATTATGTGTCTTTAAGGCAATGAAAGTAGGAATGATTTTATTTCATATGACACAGTATTAAATTTTCTCTGAAATACTTCCACATAAATAATTTAGGCCAATGCAATAAAATGTGTTTCTTCCGTGAACCTAAAGGAACTATATTTGAACACATTTAAGAAAATTAAAGTGGGGCACCTGGGTGGCTCAGTGTGTTAAGTGTCCGACTCTTGGTTTCGGCTCAGGTCATGACCTCAGAGTTCTGGAATCGAGCCCCACGTCAAGGTCTGCACTCAGCAGGGAGTCTGCTTGTCTCCCTCTCCCTCTGCCCCTGCCCCTGCATGTGCTTCCTCTCTCTCTAAAATAAATAAATAAATAAATCTTAAAAAAAAGAACATAAATATAATCCTTAAAAATTAGTCATCCCAAATTTTTATCTAACACACCAAAGAGTCAAATGGCAGTACATACCTCTTGCTTATTTATGAACTTGTTGACCATAATGCAAAAATCATGTTACTGTAATAGCCTGGATTCCTGGAGAACCACTCTGAGGTGGAGGTCAGAGGTTAGCCTGCAGGAGGTTTACGAAGGAGTGCCCTCACAGTCAACACCTGTGAAAGGCAAGAGAAGGAAGGAAGAGTGGGTGAGGTGATGGCTGGAAACCCACGTATTTCTGAGACTCTACCCTGAACTTCTTTTAACATCTGTGCTTCCAAATTTCTACTTCTACTTCCTTTTTCTATCTCTTTCTAAATCCTCCATCGACTACTCAATATGTTTAGAAGGCACTATCCACAACCAAGAAATGCCCATAGGCTTTTCAAGAAAACTTTAAAATAATTATATAAATGTGCATAAAAACATTCATCAGACCTTAGATCTGTGCACTTTCTCTCACCTATTTCTGAAGATTTTTGAAGAGTATAAGAATCAGAGTCATATTCTGCCCCTCATTTTCCTTCTTTTTTTAAATGCAATCACAGACAGTTCCTAGAAATATTAATAATCTTCTCTTAAGTGAATTTCCCAACACAAGGTCAAAGATAGATATTTGAAAGATAAAAATCTGCTTAGGGATAAAATTTTACTCCAAGTAAGTTCAGTGAAAATACTTAATGGAAAAGTCAAGTAATTTATTTTCTAAAAGATTTGTTTCCTGCTGTATAATCCATAAAGAAGTTACAAGAAAAAAGAAAAAGGAAAAAAAATGTGAACCAACAAAAAATATCACAGAGGAAAGGGAGCAGGTATATTTCAGTATTAGACTTAGACTGTTCCTATGTCAGAGACAGAAAGTACATGGCCTGTTACAGGGTATCAGCTGAGAAGGCCCGCTGATTGGCATTTATTTATCTGGCATATGACTAAGGACTAGGGTCGGAGCTCCAGGGTGCTGACAAAATTGGAAAGCAGATAGGGACTCAGAAAATCAAGCTCACAAAATACTGATGAATGTGACTCAGGAGCACTATCACCACAGGGAGCTGTAGGACCGTAAAACTGAAGTTGGATTTACAGTGTGAAACAGAACTGCCAAGAGACTAAGCTATTAGCATCCTGTCACTAATACCTTTCCCTCCGCTGTGCAGATCTAAATGAAAAGCCAAGTTCTATTTAGGATTCTTGGTAAACTCAGAAAAATGGAGATTATTTGTATGAATTGAATATTCAGTAGAAATAAATATAAACTTCTTAACAGTCTTCTGTGTATTTTTTTTTAATGTATTGCCTCACTTAGCCCTCACAAAACAAATGAACAGTTACACAGAGTTATGATCTCCATGGCCCAGATGAGAACAGTGACGCACAGAGAGATTGGGTAATTTGCCCAGGGTCACACGGTGATGAATGATGGAGTTGAATCTGAAACCAAGAGAACACTTAAAGATTATTCTCTGCTTTGCTGTCTCTTCAGTAATAGGTGCCAAGAAGCAGGTAGAGCCCTGGAGATACCATAACACTCATCCTTATTTATTATAAATTCTCTAATTCTGTCTCCCCCACCATATTATAATCTCTTTGACTCCCTTAGTGTCTCACTCAGAATGTGGCACATAGTGTATGTCTCCACATATTCCATAGAACATACAGATGACTCAATGAATAAATATTTTAAAACGTCCATTCATTTCTACAATCATGCCGCAAATAGGGTCTGAATTCAATCAATCGAACTTGCATTATCAGTGTGTTTCTAGAGACCCTTCCTTAACGCACACTAAAAACACTGCTCTCTCACTCTGTTTCCCTGAGTTCTAGGTGTAACCAACAGGATCGCAAGATCTCTGGCGTTGGGGGGTCGCCTGGGTGGCTCAGTTGGTTAAGCTGCCAACTTTTGACTTTGGCTCAGATCATGATCTCAGGGTCATGGGATAGAGCCCCACATGGGGCTCCTTGCTCAGCGGGGAGTCTGCTTGAGAGTCTTTCCCCTTGCCCCTCCCCCCACTCATTCCCTCTCTCTCTCTCAAATTAATTAATTAAAAAAAAAAAATCTCTGGTGTGGGATTCAGCCAAAATTATCTTTTGTGGGCATGAGTCAACAGCACACTTTTACTTGACCTCCTCACTTCCCCACTCCCTTAATATTTTTCAAGGGATTTCCCTAGTAAGTAATGTGTCCATGTATCCTCATTTCGGGGTACACTTTGGGAAACCCACCCTAAAACACCACGTACAGAATATATTCTTTCTTGAAGCATTATAAAGCTAACTACTCTTGACCAGCTTTAAACACATCAAATTGGCCAGGATTGCCTTGTTCTTCTTGCTTCTGGCACTAGAAATATTGCATGTTTATGTCACCTTCTGCACATGCCTAATTTTATCAGTTATGTGTAGCTTTATAATCTAACTTGGATTTTTGGTGTTTCCTTGATCCTGCTCCCATACGGTCTTCAGCAAATGCTCATTTTATCCATGTAAAAATGTATAAATGCTTCTTAACATTTACCAACAGTTTTATTACACTTTTTAATATTCCCAACAACTTGTACCTAAGCAAGACCATGATTATTCTCCCCATTTTGAAAATGAGACATCTTGGGCTCAAAGTGGAGGCCTTTCAGGCATGTCATTAGAAAGTAATGGAGCTGAGCCCCAGAATTCTGGTTTTCAGATTCCTAGACCAGTGCTCATTCACATATTTATCAGTCACTTCTGGAAACTATGTTTCACCTACTGGAAGTCATTACGATTATTCTTACCTGTTCTTAAAATCTCTTAACTCTGCTACTCTCTACAATCAAGTACCAAGTAACACAACATGACATCAACATCAGAGAAGCCTGGGACATTTAATTCTATGCATATGTGGCAAGTCATTACATACGCATACTAAATTTCCCAGCTGTCATTTGTATGTAGGATGAAGTCATGGGTAACTTGCCCAACAATAGTTACATCAGTCTGCAACAAAATCCAAAATATCCCATGGCGTGCATATGAAGGTGTCTGAAAAGGAAAGAATCTTTCTGATCTGAAAACAGAATTTGGATCGTCAAATAAAAGTCTTATATTGGATTGCTCATCTTCTGCATTAAATCAGGTTACTGTGACCTCACACTTCAGAGTTATTTCATTCCTGGATTTTTCTCAGAAATTGCCGATGGCAGAGAAATGAGAGGAAAAAATCCATGTATTTTGGTTATAAAATATTTTAAAAATTAAAATACAGTTATCTTAACCCTTATAATATTCTGATATGTTTATTCTTCTTTCTCATTCATTCTATGAAGGTGTTCCTTTATGATCTTAATTTAAAATAATGTATTTGATAAAATAATCATAGACTAACTTATATTAATAAGAAACTAACCCACGAATATGTAGGAATATATTGATTCTTCTCAGTATTTTAAAACATTTGATTCTAAAAATATATATATCCTTTTGTGTATTCAGGGGAAGGGGGAGGAATTTTTTAGAGGTCATGTTGCCTCTTCCTTCTATACAGAAAATTTTTCTTTGCAAACAAGAAGTGTTGATTGAATTAATACTACTATTGTCTTTATTGGAAAGAAAAAGTCTACATCCGTTCTACTGTAAAAGGTGTTGAAAAAGCTATTTATTTCTTCTTATTCTAATAGCAATCTTTTGAATACCAGCAGTCCCTTGAATACATTTAGTATTCAATGAGACTTTACAAGTGACATGAAATCAATATATTCAATCAAGTCAACAAATATTTATTGAGCTCCTACTGCATGCCATGCACTCTTCTCGCCTCTGAAGTTATATTAGAGAACAAAACAACCCAGACTTTTATTTAGGTGAAAAAAGTACACACTATATAATACTAGATAGTGATAAAAAAAGATGTCTTAAAAAGATTAAAGTCAGGTAAGAAGATAGAGTGTGATAGTGGAGATGGGGATAATTTAGATAGAAGGGCCAGAGAAAACCTTGCCTTGTGGAAGCCTAAAGAAATGAGTAAGTTAGTCATGCATAGATCTATTCATGACTGGAATAAAGAATATTCCAGGCAGAAGGAGAGCAAATGAAAAGACTGTAAGGCAGAAATAGGCCCAGCATGTCTGAGGAACAGCAAGAAGTCAGTGTGGCAAGAGAAACTTTAAAAGATGAGTTTTGAGAGGAATAAAGAATGAGGTCATGCAGGAACTGGGAGTTCTCAGTAAGAACATGGCTTTTACTCAAGATGAAATAGGAAGTTATTATAAGGTTTAAAGCCAAGGAGTGGCAGAGTCTGACTCAAGTTTTTTCAAACTTTTCTAATATCTTACTGCTGTGTTGAGACTATACCGTAGGGGGATGAAAAGAGAAAGCTCATTTGGGAAGCCATTGAAATCATTCCGGGAAGAGAGACTAGTGGGAGGATGCACGAGCTGGGAAATGATTTGACGCTGAATATATATTTTGATAGAAAAGCTAACAAGATTTGCTGGTGGATTGAATGAGAGGTATGCAAATAAAAAAGGAATAAAAAATAACTCAAATCTTTTTGCCCAAGCAACAAGCAAAATAAAGTTAACTTTTTTTTTTTTCTTTTTGGGTAAGAAATACCATAGGAATAGTAGGATAGGTGAAGAAATTGAACACTTAGATTAGACACCCAAGGTAGGGGGGGTGAGGAGAAATCTCCTAAGTGATTGGACCAATGAGTCTGGAGTTGAAAGGAAAATCTGAGGGGTGCCTGGGTGGCTCAGTCTGTTAAGCATCTGCCTTCAGCTCAGGTCATGATCTCGGGGTCCTGGGATTGAGCCCTGGGTCAGGCTCCCGGCTTGGCAGGGAGTCTGCTTCTCCCTCCTGCTCGTGCTCTCTCTCTCAAATAAATAAATAAAATCTTAAAAAAAAAAAAAAAAAGGAAAATCTGGGTTGGAGATAGGCATCTGAGTCATCAGTGAATACAGATAGCATTTAAAGCCATGGAATTGGAGAAGATCACTAAAAGGAGAATGGTTACACAGAGAAAACAAGAGGCAACCTTGAACCGCATGACCTTTATTAATGCGTGTGTTCCCAAGCAAAAGTTGACAGGTATGACTTTCATGTGGGTTCCAAGACTCTATTCTGGTAGAATGGATATGAAACAAATTAAAACTGGCAGCACCCTGTCATCAAGGTTCTCTCTTTCCTGTGTGTGACTAATGTG